TTTACCATGAGTATTGTGGTGCCAGGCCGCATTTGGTCTGCGCCTTCAATCCAGGACTATACCGCAAGACGGGATTCGACTCCAAGGATACCTGGGGTGAGACCGTTAGATCGATATTTCAGACGGGCGCTCCTTTTCTAGTGACAGCTTACACGAAGAAAGAGATAAAAGCTGATCTGAAGAGAGTAAAATCAGAAATGAATGAAGTGAAAGAAGTTATATCACCACAAATAAATCCTTGGGCTAGCAAGAGACCGTTGATGAACTTTGTTTCTGACGAGAAGACACCTGTGATCTTCAAAAATGCGTATTATATGATGTTGAATGTGTGAATTGGTTTCGTGAAACTTGGATTGCATCAAAGTTTTATATGATATTTTCATTTTATCGTTATAAGTTTGAATAGTCTATTTTTTATCTGTAGAAATAGTGTTGCCCAAATGCGAGACCGAGACAAGTCTTGGTCTTGCAAACTCAGTCTTGGTCTTGCGCAGACTCTCGTAACAGTCTTGCAGTTACCTATTAGCTTATTACTAGAGAGATATTACTGTAATTTTTTACATATGAGAAAGCTAACTAAGCCAGAATGAAAAATTAGAAGAGTTAAATGCAAAAGTATATAGGTTACACCATTTCTTTACACATAGTAACTAAAATTGTAAAGTATTAGTACCTATTTTGTCTCAATTTTTATTCAAAAATCGATTTTTTTGGTCTTGCAACAGATAGGCGGTGTTGGTCTTGGTCTTGCAAAGTGCTAGACCAAGACCGATTTTGGGCAACACTAAGTAGAAAACATTATCATGGTTATTAATCCTTAATAATGTTATTTAAGCAATAACATATGTAAATAAAATATGTAAATAATAGTTGATATTACACATACGTTTAATAATTCACAGAAACATTATCATAAGAATCCTAAGTACATAATTAATTGTGTTTCTAATATTACAGAGAGGTTAATATCGATTGAACTAAATTTTGGATCTCTAACAGCGAAGATTCATAATCTAGTGGTATTTAAAAACATTGACATCATCTTCGAAAATAGTAACAACATAAAATGTGATGAAAATCTAATCTCAATCAACGTAATCGATTTGTGTCTTGTAAAGTGTCAACAGGGGTCATGTTTTGATAATTTGTAAAATAGTTACGCAACATTTTATATGTAAAGATAAGCATTTGTAAACATTGCCTTGAGCTAAGAAAACACTATTGTTTCATTGAAATGGAGGTTTGGAGGATCTAAAGTTCAGTTATGATCACATGATATTTCTTATGTCAGGATAAGTTTCTCCCCTCTTTTTTATTCATTTCAAAACATTGCCTTCCATCCCAACAATAACTAAGTAACAAATTCTCACGAGACATTCTTGTGTGTACACCATTTGGCTAGCTTGGATTTGGAGCATCCTGATAAGAGAGAGGACTCCTCTCGGTTTATTTATTGCATGGTGAAGAATGAGTCCAAGTTTGTAAGAACAAAACTGTAAGTCCTTTAATACAACACACAAACCTATTTTCCTTCTAATAGGCGCCGGCACTTAAGAAATATCAGGGATGTAACATGATAATAACAGTATTCAATGCATGGGAGGGCGAAAGAGGATGCAAGGCCATACAGCTGGATCCCATTGGAAAAATATTAGAAGGTGCCTTAACTCCCTCTCTCCAGTGCCAGCGTGATAAATATTGACTTTTATTTAATGGAAATGAATCGTAATATGAATGGGACATAATTAAAATTTGGCAGTTGAACATGTGGCGTGATTGTCTATTTGTAGCGAGACAATGCTGAGACAAAAAAATATTCTTTTTTACAATAGCTTATTATAAGCAGACGGTCTATATGTGTTGTTGTTAGTGTCTCATTCTGCCAACCAACACTTAAACTAAACACCGGTTGGATTTTTTCGGTATGAAATACACTTTTCACGAAAACTGCTGAGCTATGTGATTTAGGTTATTATGTTTACTTTAACTCAAGTAAGATAAAATAATTATTTGAAAAAGTAACGACTCTCCGACAGATGTTATAAAATTGACCGAACGCATGCTTCTTTGTTAACTGATTGTTCTAAGGTTGGATTTATTTATTTTTATTTTTCCTGAGGGAAAATTTTTAGGTTATTGATCAAGGATAAAATTGAACATAAAATATAATTTGTATAAAACAGTTATTAATCAAGGATAGGTTACGAGTTTTCAGTGTTTTTTTTTTCATAATTCTTATCATTTTGCTGTGAAATTTGTATTAGTAACCACTTAAAAGTATTGAGTTCACTGACATACCATAAAACTGCAAGATTTACTCACAAAATGTTTTGATTTCTTCCTGTTATTTTTAGACAAGGAATTGCAATTTGACAGGTTGTATCCTAGAACCGCAGGGTTTATTTTCTCAAAACATTTTATGTTCTTCAGGACTGAATTGATCACTAAGTCGCTTAGTATATTAAAGGCACCGGAACGGTCCTTGGCCTTTTCAATGAGACTTCGTCAAGTCCGAGTCCCATACTGTCACCCATCCAGCAACCTACTTGTGATCTCTTGCAATGGCGTCAGTGCAACGTGGCCAGCATAACGTAGTCTGCCCAATCTTATATATCTCATTAAATCCGCTCTTCCGTAGAGCCCATAAACCTCTGCATTTGTTCAACTTCTCCTATTGTTACCCTCCTTCACAATTTCAAATTTATGGCGAAGGATTTTCCTTTCAAAAATCTGAAGGGCCATTTTCTCTGAAATTGTGGGAGTCCAAGACTCCAAGCCGTAAGTTAGGACGGATCTAATGAGGGTCCTATACAATTGACAGTTGGTAAAGCGGGACAAGATTTGAGATGTTAGTTCAGGCCAAAATAGCATCTGTTAGCATTAATGAGTAGCTGAGAAATCTCCAAAGAAATTCTCTTTCCGAATGTTATAATTGATCCAAGATACTTAAACTCCTATACTGGTTCTTGCACTGCTACGTCTGCTCCAGGTCCCGCTCGCAAATATTTGTTTTGTTTTTTCTTGATTACAATCTTCCCCTTCCCTTTTGCAGCTTTAGCAAATTTAAGAAACTCACTTTTGAATAACTGGAATGATGATCCTGAAATGAGTTAAGATCGTCTGCAAAACCAAGTACTTGAACAGATCCACTTAAATTAGTGTCTGATGTCTGTATTACCGAGTCACGGGTGGCTTTTTCTAAGCTAAATTAAATAGCAAACAAGACAACCCAACACCCTTTCTGACACTTCATGCAGAAATAAACTGGTAAAATGTCTGACTGTACCTTTACAGCGCACCTAGCGTAATAGTCATCCTGATTAGACGTAGAAGTCTCAACGGTATGCCCGATTGGCAGAAGGCTGCATATAACTTAAGCCTTTTTATACTGTCATATACATTTCGAAAATCGACAAAAAGATTGGGGGTAATCTTCTGGTTCTCGTGTGATTTTTCTAGAATCATTCTGATGTTGAAGATCTGATAAACCCGTTCTGAAACCAGCCTGATACTTGCCAATTACTCTCTCAGCAAATGGGAGGAATTTCATATATAATCCTGGACAGAACTTTATATCCACATTGAAGTTGCGTAATCCCCCTGTAATCGGAACAATCCAGAATATCATTGTCCCATATTATTATTCTCAGTAGTTAGAAATAATAATATGAGGATGCTAAAATATAAACGAGTAAATAAGAAGATATTTTGAATAGAAAAAAAATTGTAACGATAAACGACTTCCTCTATCTGTGTTGGTTAAGGATGATCGGAATCTCCACCTCAGTACGGAGACTATGCCAATAGTTGACAAGCCAATTTCCGTTTCCAAACTTTTGGCAAAGGCGACGTACTATTTTCAAAATATCTAATTAGGCTCTGTATTCTCAATCATTAATGACTGGATAATTTTAAAGTTATGTTTATTTATCCTACTCTTTAGTTAAAACCCTTTATATTTTAACAAAATATACCTATTGTAGATATACTTGATTATTTATTTTTAATGATTTTGGTAATTTTCAATATACTTGTTTAATATTTACATTATTTTTTTATAACTACCTAATTTGATTCAACATAATTAATATTGGATATTAAAATATAAATTTTAAAAGATATTATAAGATTATATTGGACTATGCAAGCTTTTTATTTTATTTTTTTGCTAATAAAATAAAATTGATATAAGAATAAAGTTATGTTGCTGCTTGAGTGTACACTCTTTTACATTGGAAAAAATTTCTTTTGAGATAAATCAGAAGCTCATCAAGATAAACTCATTCTGAAATATTATAACTTCAGCCCAGATTTCCATGCAGTATAAAACAGAAAAACGTGCAGTATAGAACACAAAATGTGCAAAATCGTGCAGTAAAAAACCAAAAAGTGTAAAATAGATAAAAAAATAGTGTAAAATACAAAAATAGTGTAAAATACATAACATGCAAAAATTATAGTTTTGGTTCAATTTATAATGTTAATACTTTTAATATAATGTTATAATGTTAGTACTTACTACATAATTTATTCTTATGTCAAGAGTTGCAAGCTTTAAATTGAAGTTGAGTCTAACGTGTAGTAAACTCATGAAAAATCAAATTCTAATTTAAAATAATTTAAAGAGTTTATCATATATATATATATATATATGAAATATATTAGTGTGAATGTACTCTTATCTCACTATAATTATTGTCCAGGTGACATATATGTATATATATATATATATATATATATATATATATATATATATATATATATATATATATTTATATATAATTATAATTATTGTGCAGGTGACATATATGTGTGTGTATATATATATATATATATATATATATATATATATATATACACAAATACATATACGTCACCTGGACAATAATTATAGTGAGATAAGAGTACATTCACACTAGAGATGGGCAGATGAATGGACAATCAAATCCATATGTTTAAATCCATGTGTATTTTGTCTTAAAACGATTTTCAATGTCAGAGTTTACAGGAAGCGTGAATAAATCTTCCATATTCTCCGCAATATGGATGCATATGTGATGCTCTGGGTAAGCTCGCTACTTAATTAATGTTTTAAATTAAGTTGATCTACAAACTTGATCCGCTGATGGATGAACCTAATTTGTGTCGATCACGGACTCCCGTTAAATTGGAAAAACAAATTTGAGTTCTCCGACAGAGCTCAGTTTGTTCGCATTTAGAAAAGGACATGAACCAATGTTTGCCATTTTATCGGTAAGAATCTTGCTATGACATATGGTATTTCACAAATCCCAAAAAATAATTGAACTTGATCGTTGAGTAATTTTGACAGTTCTGTATGTTGTTTTCCCTAAGATTAATTAAAATATTAAATGTGAGACCATTTTTCCTAAGAGGTATTGCTAAAAGAGAAATTGGCCTATCTGATGTTTCATATACTTGAAAAGCAACCTTTGGGAAACTCCAACTTACAAGTATCGATAACATTTTTTAATCGAGGCCTTAATTAACAGATAGTAAGTAAAAATTAGTCACTAACCAAATGTGATGGATCAATCTAGGTGTGAGACATTGTAATGACCGAACTTATCAAAGCTAAACATTAGTATTCTCGAGTCTAGCGACGCGGCACACTGTGGCGAGCGTAAGATTCTTTGGACATCAGCTCTAACTTATTCGGAAATTGCAGTATATTGTTCAAATTTGGTCTGTTCATGTTTTTGAGGGTATTGAATTTGAATTCAAGCCATTTAGTCGACAGGTTGTATGCAAAATAATAAAATATCAACTTTTATTTTACCTCGAATTTAACTCTGTTTTTCTCAAATTTAATCTTTTTTTCTTTTTAAAAGTTATTTGAGTACATACAAAATAGTACATTTAAGGTAGCATGTTACACACTGTTGTATAAAATAATTTTAAACGAAATAAAATAATATATATTTTCAACTCACTTTTAAATTCATTTTTAGAACCCAAACTTCCTTAAAAAGTGATAAATTTAGTTTATAAACTTGATATAATGAAATCGAAATAGATTAACAAAATTTTAAGTGTGCCTCTGCAATAGTGTTGACCAAAATCAACTGTTGCAAGACCAAGACCAAGAATGGTAAAAAAAAAATAATTTTTTAAAATTAAAATTTAGGCAAAATAGTTACTAATGCTTGACAATTTTAGTTACTATATGTAATGAATTGGTATAATCAATATACTTTTGCATATAAAACGCTTCCAATTTTTCATTCCGGCTTAGTTAGGTTTCCTCTCTCTCAAAAATTACAGCAATATTTCTATTGTAATAAGCTAATAGGTAATGGTAAGACGGTTGCGAGACTCTTGCGCAAGACCAAGACTCTTCTTTTGAGCAACACTACTCTGCTACTATCAATCATTGACGCGATAGATCTGTAAGAAAAAGAAAAGTTCAATTTATCTACTAATATAGGTACAAGTATTTCACATAAAATATTCGCTGTAGATACAAATAGATTGTTTAAAATCCACGTTCTGTGGTTTGTATTGTAAACATTACCTTATTCAGATATTATATAATTTATAACCAATTTTATAACGGCAGATAATTAAATATAACTATATAAAGTTACATGTATTTTTTTTTTTTACTTTTGTTTACTTCTTAAAGCTTAGTTATTAAACTCATGAAGTGTTTATAATTTGGCCAGTATAGACAATTATATGGCGTTTAATAAAAAGCTGGGTCGATAATAACTCGAATACGCTAGAAATAAAATAAATAAATAAAAAGTAATGAAATTCACTCTGATGCCAACGTTCCCATGAGTCAAATCCTCAATAACTTCCGAGTGGCCGGCTGGGGAAAGTCTAAAAAATGTTTTTAGAAGTTCAAATCTTTGTTAACAACAGAAGCTATCTAGTTTTTCGGGCGGTTTGCGAAATGGAGTAAAATTGCTTGCAATTGTTTGAAACCTCGTAACAACTATGTTTATTTATAAAAACCGATGTTCCAAATGCCTTAAGATTCACAAAAAGTACTTAATTCTGCCCAGAACATACCGTTAGGTTTGAAAAAAAATACTGGCAATCCAGCTCTTAATATAAAAAAGATGTTTTTTTATTTTTTCTCCGATTATCTCACATTAGGACATTATTAATACGATAATTAAGTTTTGCTACGATTAAATTAAGCAAAAGTAGGAGTGGATCAGTTTATTGTGTATATAATATTATATACACAATAATATCCAATAGCAGACCCATGGAATTAATCCCATCTCCATCTTGCTTAGAATAGGTTTGCTTATATCTGTACTTTAGATGCTATGATAGACTCCTACTGTGGTTTAGTGATAAAAAGATAGTTTAGCTAACGAACAATTCACTATATTTATTAAACTTGGATTAACAGTCTTGTAGATATTGGCCTTAGTTTTCCTGTGGTACACTGGCTTCTGACATTTCCAAAAAATCTACTCAACACTTTAACACGATAAATAAATATATATTATGTTATTTAGGAATAACTTAATTGTTGAAAATTCTTCCAAAAAGGCTATCTGTTAAAGGTAATAAGTTTTATAATTTATAAACCATTTTCTCAGCATATTCTTGCAAATTTTTAAAACCGGATAGATAATTGTGCAAATTCGTCTATTATGGTCATTTCAAACAAACTGTTGCAAACTGGTAAATTTTAATCATCCGGTACCGACCAATTTTAAAAAAAATTGTTTTCAATATTAAACTGATGAAAAATATATTACACATACCAGTGCCTCTTTATTTATAAACACATTAAGTCTAATTAAGCGGATTTCGCTAAGATATTGTGTTTATTGTATGTAGAGGTCTTTCTAATTTCATTCTTAACAATTTAATTTTTAATGTCTAGACCAAAATTAAAAAGCTATTGAAAAAAAGCCTAATTCTAGCCTTGAAACTTTCAACAGTAATAATTATTTTTAATTCAGGCAACTACATTCCTCAGTATTCAGAGAGCTTGAATATTTAATCAGAAATAGTATGAAATATATATATCTTTTAGTTATTTATTTTATTTACCTCAAAATACTGTTCTAATAGGTACCTACAATAAGATACTTAATATCTATAACCTTAATTTCAAAAATGAATAAAATAAGTGTCATCAATTTGGGAGAGAATTTTAAATATAATATTAGCTAAGGTTGTCATTACTTTTTTTTTTTTTACTGTAGATAAAAAATGAGAGCACAGGTCCCACCGAGATTTGAACTCGGATCGCTGGATTCAAAGTCCAGAGTGCTAACCATTACACCATGGGACCCCAACTATCGATAATTAAAGTCAATTATTATGATATGTTCAATAATTAAGGTATCATATTCCTTAGTGTAAATTTTGTTGGGAGACAATGAAAACAAAAATTTTAATTATGAACATTTGAGTGAAGAACACTGTGTACGTATTACGCGGGCATAAAAACTGACTTTCCTGTTTTAACGTCCGTTTTTCGGTCCTGAAAGATTTTTTCATCAACGTCTTTGTGACTGTCTCATGGTCAGTTCTCTTAAATGGTCTGTTTAAAATAAATTAGACGGATTACAAAATTTGCTATCATGTTTATATAATAACAGTTCATTGCTGTTCTTAAACTGTCCAAAATCTAGTAAAATCAAAATAAAATAGAGATATTTTGTATCACTAAACACTTATGTGGTAAATAGAGAAGCTTTTTTTTTTTTTATTATTTAAATGTTCAAGCTAAACTAAATGACAAAGCCGGAATGTATGTGCTATTTAAATTTTTTAAAAAACAGTGTGCTGAAGAAAATTGTAAATTAAAATTGAAAAACTTTTTAAATGGGAATGCATGAATCATATAGTATAAATATTGATTTTCAAGTAATTATAAAATATTATTTAAAAAAATAATGTCTAAAAAATTAATTATTTTTAAAAAGTAAAATTTAAGACCCCTCATTTGAGCAACAATCAAATAAAACATTAGATGACGTATTAATTATTTATTTAATTAAATTCGGATTAGAACCGGGTGTTATCAAGGTTCCATGGTGTAATGGTTAGCACTCTGGACTCTGAATCCAGCGATCCGAGTTCAAATCTCGGTGGGACCTGCCTTTTTTTAATTTTTTAAAAAAATTAGAATGGCTTTTACACATCCACATTTATTGTTAATTTTTCCCTAAGGAGAAATGTTTTTTGGAACATTTATAGGAATATGGCGCGGCGCGCATATCACACGACTTTCACTAATCATCCTAATTCGACTAAAATAGGTAAGTATTTTCATGTATAGGGACACTAGCGGATCCAGGATTTAATTTTGGGGGGGCTTCAGCCCGAAAGCTGTTTTTTTCATAAAAATAACGATAATTACTTTGGAAAAAAAGACAAACAAAACAAAACAAACCTGTATGAAATGGTGTTTAAGTGATTCCTAAAGCCCTTTTAAATGTAATTACACAAACAATAATACTTTAAGAGATACTTTTTTAATATTTTTTACGGTAAAACATGGCTATATTTTACTATTTTGGAGGGGGCTTCAGCCCGAAAGCCCCTCCCCCCCGTAGATCCGCCCGTGTATAGGGATGAGAGAGTAAAAAATGTAAATGGTACAACATATATATTTAAAGTAATTATTTACCATACCTGTTCTTCGCCTGCCTAACTATATGCGGTTTTCATCATTCAACTTTACATTTTTAAATGTATGATATAAATGTTTATGTTTCTAAAATCTATAGCCTTCTAACAGTATATTATATAATGATAGTACCTACAATTTTTATCGAATGATTTTATTTTTTTAGACTTGGACTATATTTATACCTTTAGTTCATCATACAATTCTTTTTAGTTTACATTTACGTTTTATTCAAACGATAAGAAAGGAAACCCATTTGAAACAGCATAATCAAACATAGGAATTGTTGAAATGTTTCAATAATTTTTTTTAACCTTTCAGCTTAAGCCAATTTTTTAAATAACAATATCTTCTTTTCATGCTCGATATTATCTACATAATTAAGTAATTATGTACAACTTTAAACATTCAAGTGGGTGTTATTATTTATCATAATATTTTATTTATTATAATAAATTAAGCTTGAATAAATTATAAAGGGAATTAATTCTGTGCTGCCTCAGAATTGGTCAATGCGAATTTTCGCACGGCTACCTACTCCATGGTCGACAACCACCTACCTGCTACCTTCATAACAAGTTAATCGAAATCGTTGAAGACGTTATCGAGAAAAATGTGTAAAATAGAAGATATGCAATGCCTTGGAGGATAGTCGATATTGAGGAAAATGTTTCTGTAACATCACGGTTATATACTTAACTTAAATGGGTAGTATTAGTTTCATCTGACTTTTAAAATTTTAACAAAAATACTTCTTTTTCAAAAGAATAAATATTTAAAAATCATAATTTGATAGCGCACACTGTTTTATTTATACAGGTCTGAAAAATGGGAATTAGTCCTTTTGATATAAAGTGGCCAACTAAACGTTATCTTTTTAGACTTTTTTTAGTTAGGTTGCTCACTTACACCCAAACACATACGAACACAGATCATTTTACGAGAATAGGTTATTGGATTCGGAAGATCTTAATACGTCTATTTCCCGTGAAATAAACCACATATTTCATTTATGGGTAAATGAAAGTAATAAATGGAAAAGTTCAATCGCGTTGAGAAAAGTAGTAACCAATCAAAACTAGCTGGAAAAATTATTGAAAATCATTTTATTATCAATTTTTGATTATTCTTATTAAATATACAAATAGGATTTTTAAATAGATCAGTTCTTTTTTGGAACCGATAGAAATACAAATATAAAAAATACACTTTATGGTTATAAATATAATCAATACATTAATGCTGTGTCTGGCAATTATATATAATTGCATAAAATATTTGGAGGAATAAGTATAATAAATATTACTTCTAAATCGAATGAAATATATTAAATTATATCTGCTAAAAATGAATTATATTGTTTACTATGGTAGCTATTAAATTCAACATTAATTGAAAATATTTTAAATACAATTGAAGTTTTTGCATTTCTGGTCATAATAGCTCCATCTTCTAAACGTATTAGTCTTTTGCTATCTTGTTTTAATTTTACTATAGGAACATCTTAAAGCGCCTTGGTGAAGAAAACAGCCCATTGAAGAACACCGAGGAGACAGGAAATGACATGGAGAAGATTCCTGAGTAAGATCCCTGTTGAGCAGTCACGGACCGAGACGATTTGTATCGCAGTGGCTCCTCTACTTATCTGATGGGTCGCCTTCCATCGTCAACAACTGCGTTTCTTGCTAAACTCACTCTATTAAATGCTTCAGTCATTACCAGCTCAAGCAGGGAGTTGGAATAAATATTTTCAAGAAAATATTTCAATATGAAATAAAAGGCGCTTTAATAACCTAAGTATTAATAATGAAGAGAAGAATAGTTGGGGTGCTCATTCTTCTCTTCATTATCCACGACAGTCAACCAATTACCAATTACTAAGTATTAATATTTTAAAAATAATTGTTAAAGTATCAGCTAATAGGATCCGGAATAAAATTTGTTTGTTGTTGGTTAATTTTTTGTTTGTTTTTTTACTGTTTTACGAAATATCTTCGGTTTATTGTAAATGTGACTAATTGTAAGTAAATTTTTGATATAGCTAAACTTTTAAGAACTTTTTTTGTGAATCTCCACATTTATTTATCGATAAAATAACAGAGTGAATACAGTAAAACGAGACAAATCTTTGTTTTATATCAAATAGTTATCACAGAATTTTTACATTCCACAACGGTAAAATTCATCAAAGTTCTTAGAGATTTTAGGTTATGAAATGTCACTTTACTTTTTTTTACTATAAACCAAAGATATGTTTAATAATTATTGAAAATTAATTGATCGATGATTATCATAATAAATAATATTTTCGCATTCATTTCGAGATATTTGAAACTCATGATTTTCGTAGGAATAGGGAAGTGATGCCGATAGCCGGTCTAGGAGGTTAAAACTCGTTAAATATAATGTTCTATTGGAAATCACGTATTCATCACAAATAAATATAAATAAATTCAATTTAAATTTAATTTAGAAAATTATAATTCCAAAGAGTTAAAACAAACAACACAATCAATAATAATATTAATAAAAAGAAAACGGACATAGACGTATTGAAATTAATTTTATCCGATTTCTTGACCTTACAATCAATATCCATCAGAAAGCTCACTCTTTGACTGAAGTCCTCCATAATCCCTTCCTGACTGCAACTTAAATTTATCTTTTATTTCGTTAATTTTTTTCTTCAACATTTTTATGGAGTAAGTTGCCGTCTGGGCACACCTGCTATATAGAATATCCTATAAATTCTGCTCATTAGTTTTTTCAAATCACGTAGAAAAACATTTTTTGTTCTTCTTGTCCCCTCAAACCTGGAGAAGACTATCTATATGAAGGGTATCAAGAGGTCTAGAAAATTTACTTCAGCCATAACATGCTTCTCTAAAAAAGAAGATAAAAAAATTGACAAACATATATTCTGTGCATTTTTCCAATGCTCATTATTTTTTTTTTTTAATGTAAATTGGCCTACATTGTTTTTCAAACTAGTATTAGTTTCATAATTTAATTCATAACGCTTTCTTCTGGTTAAAATGTGAGCCAAGACCTTTTTTTTACGTTTACTGAAACAATATTAAAAAGACAGTACTTAGCGCAAAATTAAAGCTGTACAAAATTAGTTGCTTATTTCTTGAAATGCAACAAGAAGAAAAAATGAAGAGATGTGAAATTGGAAACGGTATTTTATAGTTTAATTAAAGGTTGTTTATGAATTTTAAGGGTTTTGTCAAAGCCATCTTTTAAATGCAATTCTAACTAACATTAAACTGGCTGAATCTAAATTAATCCATTAAAAAAATATAATGAACTGATTTATTAAAAGCAGTTCTAAGCAATAATACACTCAGGCACTGATTTGAACTATAAATAAGGTAATAAAGTAATGAACTATTAGTCAACTGGTGGGACTGAAGGCCTGCTAACCCAAATGTTGGATTTCCAAAATTTGGGAAAAGAGAAATATCAATTCCAGATGAACTTCTAATGACAGGTAGAGGTGAGGTAAAAATGGATGCATTTTGCTAAAGGAATACATTTGCATTTTATTTTATTTTTACTATTTTTTTTTTTTTTCTACTCTCCTATATACACTTAAAATAAGCTATCTATTATAGGCAAAAATTAAAAGTTCAAATATAATACAATGATATAATGAGTTATGTATATACTATAAAATAAAAATACCAGGAAGTTTTAATTTTCAATCCTAATAAATATAAGCAAAACTACATTTTCCTGTAGTATTTCTTTTAACAATTATTATTGTTCATATACCAAAATGATTAATTTAAACTTTTATACAAATGCTTAAATGTGGCATTGTTAAGGGAATATTTAAATACATTTGCCCCTCAGCTATGTGAGGTCCATCAATTGGAGGTAACATACACAGATTGGACATAGGAGTAATGGTTTTTTCAAAATGTCAGTAGTCACAGATGTTTGAACCATTTATGGTCTGTTTCAGGGAAAGAAATGTAGGTCATCGTGTGACCTATTTTTAGCTGACCCCGAACAGTCATAATTCATGGATCTAGAGCGATTTGGCACTTCAGTTTGAGTGAATCAGTGGGAAAAACACTGCCAGATTGCTCCCAAAGGTATCGGTTATGCAGCTATGGGTGATCTGCCACGGAACCATAGTGACCAAGGTTCATAGCAACATGAGGTTGGATGACACAATCCATACTTTCTGTACCCACAAGTAAAGCAAATCTGTAAGAAACTGCATCACAAGATCTACATGTTCTATAGCCCCAACTGAGCAAAAATAAAAATTCATTAATGAATACTCTTACAAAATTTCTTACTGACCTTCTAGTAAATAGATGTTTACTTTGGGCAGAATCTGATAATCTTTTTTTTTTGAAGAGAAAGCTGGGTTTAGAGCCACAAGATATTACATACATTACATTTTTACTCAAATAGTATTAAAAAACATTGAATGTTATATTTATACAACTTTTATTGTTACAGGAGAAAATGTTTTCAACAGGTGTAGGGGAGAACTTAATCAGATTGATGAAATCATTATACGATAATACAACTATTAGAGTACACATTAAGATCAAAGAAAATTCTGCTGAAGTTGATATCACTCAGCCTTTTTTCAGGGTATAAGTTTCAGCTCTGCACTTCTTACAATGTTTATCTCAGATATTGTAAAATTCTTTAAAGGCTAATTCTTGAAGACAGGTACAGAGGAAATTGAAATTTTTCCAACAGTATTGATATAACCATATATTGAGACTTATCATATTAAATTCCAAAGTTATGGTTTTCCAAAAATCTTCTTAAGCAAAGAAACTAAAACCTATTTACTGACAATGAACAAGTCCAATACACATAAGATTACACTTACCTTGCAGTCCAAATTACATTAACTGATAAATTTAGAGTATTTCATGCAAAAATGAACTAGCTTTCTTTTTTTATCTATCACATATGTAAGGGAAATCTTCAGAAAAAGAAAAAGTGTTCCTGGGAAACAAAACAATGTTATTTTATGCTATGGTTTCTTCGACATTTTTATTGTCTTAGTTACATAGATGTTATGGAAGGTATCAAAATTTTTTCAATCTCTATTCTTCTGGCTTGCATCCACAACTAATCATATAATAATACACTTGGAATCAGGTCACTTACCTTTTTCAATTTTTAAGAAAATAATTAGTTAATGGATAAAGAAGAGAGGCTACGATGGCTTTGCTTTGACACCCTTTAGGTACGTCTGGCAGAAGATCTCTCATTTCAAAGATCAGGTCTAAGTTTGTGAAATAGACTGTGTTATGTACCTCTACAGTTGGGGAATGAGGGCAATGGTAGGCTAGAAACCAGATGGATGGACTGAACCTACAAAGATGATACAGAACTACACCCAGAAAACTGGAAAGCAATGGCCCAAGATAAGTAGAGGTGGAAACGGCTGGTTCAGGTTTTTAAGAATGTACCATAAGAGCTATTTTCTCTAATATCTTTCAGACTACCACATAGCTATAGTCATTAATGTTTCAAAATATTTGTATTGATAATTGAAACATTATTCCTTGATCGGATTCGAAAGGTTCGTTAAAAGAGTAAAAACCAAAATACTCCCAATTAAAATAATAGGAAATAAATGAATAATAATTTAGTATGCATTAAATTTATATATTATAGGTCAATAAACAAATACTACACAGTATTTCTTCTGGAAATGTACAAACCAATAATTTTCTATCAATAAGTGGTAAACTTATGTAAATATGTATGATAACTAATATAATACTGAGTATGGCCAGAAGATAGATTGATATACAAGTAATAAAATATTTTAAGCAGTATTTATAACATGAGATAAATAATTATTTATATTATATTTAATTATTATATGATTTGGGTATCGATACTGTACTACTAAACTAATTTTCTTAAAACAAAGTTTGGCCAGATCTTATTAGATAGGTTTCAAATGTTGGAAGATAAAATTACTTTCTAAACATACCCTGTATGTAATTAATATTCTATATAGCTAAAGGTATAAAGAATATATAATAACAGGAGTATATATTACATATCTAATACTTAACACGGGTAACGCTTCCTAAATACATCATAAGATAATACATTACTTATAAATTACTATTATTGTAAAAATATAACCTTTAAAACAAACAAAAATTATAGAAATGAAAAAATAAACAATCTTCTTTTACACTTTTAGATTTTTTTTTTCATAACCATACCACAAACCTAAACAAAAAATTAAAAATTATAACACCCTGTGTAGAAAATGTCTTGAAATTAATTTATACAAAGTACTAAAAAAAAAGAAGAAAAAAAAGCATATTTACAAAGCAGAAATTTATAATAACGATAATTATAATTTTACACATTTAAGGGTATTAATTAAATGAGGCAAATTGTAAAAAAATCTATTTTTCATCATTAAATTATTGTTTCAAGCTGCATCACCATGCAAATTTTCAAAAGTATTAACATATTTGAAAAAAATGTTGGTCAAAATCTATTCAAAACAAGTACTTCAGAACTAATAAATAAAATAAAAAAACATTCAATCAAGAATAATGGATTAATTTTTTCTTTCTATTTGTATAAAATATTATTTATTTTCATCCTTTCATTATTTTCAAACAAACATGAAAATATTAAAAAAATTAAAACTAAATTTAGAACAAATTATCTTAGAAATAAACTATATGTGTTTTATTTAAGTGCCTTCATTAAAAATTAATTTATGATTATTGTTACTTTTATGAAAACATTTTATAGAAAAAAGTTTAAGCTGTAACTTTTAAACAAAATCCAAAATTCTCTGGTAAAAAATTATACTATCTATGATATTAAATTTATATTTTTTTATATCATATAATTATATGATATATAGTTTAATATAAATTATATTATCACTTAAATATAAATTAATATAACTTCATTCTTAATTTTATTCAGTACACTGACATAACAATAAATAGTGAGTTTGAAAGTAAGTTACGTGATAAAGATAAAAGAAAATGATCTATTTTTAAGAATAATTATTCAGCAATCATTGCAATAAATCCTAGAATGTTTATAATATGAATAAAATTGGTATTGTTAAAGAACACAACTCTGCCTTTTAAATGAATGAATTTTACAAAACGATAAAACAGTTCAAGAAACAGAGGTAAAGATAGAAAATAATGAAAGGAGTTTGTTTAGTAATATAGCATTGATAGATGTAATTAATTTATAAATAAAATAAATTAATATTTGTTTACATAGCTTAATTATAATATCAATTACAATAAAATGTAAATCATAGTTTTGAAAACTTGTCTGTAAATATTCAATGGTTAGAAACAAACAGTTATATACAATTTTTTAGCAACACTAAATACTGAAATCATGATGTAGGTTTAATTTTTAATTCTAAATGTAGCCATGCTTAATTCAATATTAAAAAAGTAATTTAGCTATTATAATCCTACATCAAGCAAAAATTATTTTCATCTAATTAACATTCTTGATTAGTTTACAACCATTTTGAACTGTGAACATTTTTTTGCTTTTTAATATTCTGATTTATAAAAGATGTATATAGTAATAACAAAGTCGGCACAAAATAAATCAGTAATTAAAAAAGTTTTATATTCATTACATTAGCATTATGAAAAATAGAGTTTCCCTGAACTTAATGCCCTTTTTTGAGTAAATTAATTACTATTTATTAATAATAATAAATAACCCAAACAACTTAAAATGGTTTATAAGAAAATTTTTGCATTTTGTTATTTCATGATTATTAAAAGATTAATAGACTACAAATAGATGATAGATTACATAACAATCAAAAAATATTTATTAATTCAATAATAGCAAGCTTCTTCAGAAAACTAGTCCCAAAAGGCTCAGATTACAGAATTTGCATTGGAATTCATAATTATCAGAATATTTTTATAATTGATACATTTTATGGGTAACATAAAATATTGTTCATTTTTTTATATTTTGTCTGAAATCAAAAATTAGATTTACTATTATATAATTGAGTTACAAATGAGGCTTATAATTTATGTATAATACAGAATTGCCTCAATCAACCCTTACTTAACAAGAATCTAACACTAAAGTATATTTACATAAATTAAACATAAAACACAATACTGATTCTGAGCAAGAAATACAAACTAATAATATGCTTGAAGCTTACAATCAATTAGATATCACAATAAATAGGATTTTCTTTCACAGTATGGGTTTTCACAAAGAAATTTTTTTAATATATACCTATATCATTTCAAAAATAACAATATACATACAAGTATTCAATATTCATATTCAAATAAATAAATACAATAGTTTCATACATAATGCTTTAGCACCATTTTTAAATTTACAAATTTTAGATACATAATTATGTAAGTAGAAAATAGAAAAATGGAGCTATAAATAGACAAATTTAATAGTCTCTAACTGAACTAGTTAATAATATCAATAAAAAAAAAATTCATTAACATTGTTACAAGAAGAAACAAACATATAACAGTTACTGTTACTTCATTGTAAGAAGTAGATAAAATTATTCTGATGATAGAAAATATAAAGAGTAATAAGGAAACTAATTCACTTTCTCATTCAACAGTTCTTTAGGACTCACAGAAAATATTGGCACAGTTAAATGCCAGGAGGCTAAACTAACACCTAAAGACAACTAAATGTAATTACATTTAGTGCATGCATTGTATCTTAACTTGGTCAGATGTTAGTTGGAATGACTGAGAAATGCATTAAGCATGGAATTATAAGGTCTGTCTTTTCAGGATCATTAGGTAAGATTGGTATTCACTATTACATAATTGTCAAACATACTCAATCTTCAAATGAAGATTTCACAGAAAATTAAAAAAAATATATAAAACATTAATCATAAGAGGGGATCAGTTTCAAAACTAGCTCTTACATTATCAACAATTTTATAAACAGAGAAAAAAAAAGTTGTGTCCTATTTGACTAAGAATTTGAATCCTTGGTCTTTTGGAAATCTTTTTTATACAGGGTTGAAGATGACTTTGATCAATATTCTTTGCTAGGTAATATGCGATTAGAGGTTTGTCATAGCACATTAAAAAAAAAAAAAGATAAAGTTAGTTATGGAACTAATGACTTCATATTGGGATGGTAAATACAAATTTAGATGAATTTTTGGATTTTTCAAATTCATTACTTTAAACTTTTGCAAGATGAAATACTTTTTATATTTTAAACTATATAAGAACCAAACAGACTATAAGTAAAAATCAACAACAAATAATACAAAAGTTTTTTTTCTTTACTTTTTTTTTTATAAAAACATTTTACTAATGTAACAATAAAAGAAAAATCAATGCAGTAGTAAACCATAATTGAAAAATATTTCTTTTAGAATCTTATAATACACAAATCTTAACCAAGAAATTAATGAAATACTTCAGTTTCATAAATTTAAAAACGATCTTAATGAAAAATGAGAAATCCAGCATTAAAAATTACATCACTAAAAAAAAAAAATTAACTCATTCTCTTTCGTTTTTAAATCAATTATTAATATTTACATCATTATAACAAATAAATAGCTATACAAAATCTTTTGGGTAAATGAAAAATATTTATTAAACCAAACAAATGTCTACTGTAGCAGGATATTCCTTCATTATTAGTTACATCAAAGCAATACTAAAAATATTTTCAATACAATTATTATAAATATTTTGAACCAATACAGTTTAGAATGATTTCGGTTTTAAGTTATTAATAAAAGCTATTCATTCAGCTATTGATTGTGCCTCATGTGTAGTCCAAGAGTAGAAACTGTTAAAAGGTACATTAAATTGTTGATTTAATTTAAAATATTTCATAAAAGTTGAATCTTTTCAAATTAAACCTTTCATAAGTTGAAAATCTATACATATCATGTATTTTTAGGAACCTTAATTTTTATCAATGAACATTTTACTTTTGTATATCCAATAAAATTTTAAAATATTTAACAAACATTTTCTTATTAGAAAAAAAATTATAGTTATGCATGTAGAATTGTAAAAAAGGAAAAAAATAAATGTAAAATAAAAAATTAGAACTAAGGAAGAAATATATTTGAAATTAGGCAAAATGGTCCCAAAAAATAGGACAATCTCTAGCTCTCTGTTAAATAATGTACATAAATAATATAAATTACGTAAAATCTATTTTAAAAAGTTGAAAAATAGGTGGTAAAATGTAGTTAAAATAGCATAATTTAAAAAAAAAAATTGTAAATACTGTAAAAGTTCAAATTTCTTTCTGTAGCTCTAAAAAAAATCTTTGAAGTGAAAAAATTAATTCTGATTGTTCCGGGTTTGTCCTGCAAACATAT